ATTGAATGAGCAGTCTTAGTACATCAAGTTTACCCGGGTGAGACCAAAGGGGAACTGGCTTCCATTTCTTAACGTTCAAGTGAACTTATCAAGTAGCGGTTACAAAACAAAGTGGTACCGAAAACCTCGTAACAAAAACAATCTCGTTCATTTCCTATTCTCCCATCNGAGATGGACAAATGCTTTGAGTTATTGAATGAGCAGTCTTAGTACATCAAGTTTACCCGGGTGAGACCAAAGGGGAACTGGCTTCCATTTCTTTACGTTCAAGTGAACTTATCAAGTAGCGGTTACAAAACAAAGTGGTACCGAAAACCTCGTAACAAAAACAATCTCGTTCATTTCCTATTCTCCCATCCTTCACACACAAAGAGGGCGATTGTAAAAAACATGTTTCTAAGAGCCACCTCCGATGTGTACGAAGAAGGACTTAAGGGAGGTATCGCGCGACTTGGCTCGGCAAATAGCCATCTCCAGTGACTACGAAATGGTAACCCGACGAGATATGTTTAAAAGGAGAGCGACGCCCCAAGACCAAACACTCGGCCAAAAAAAAATACCGTTTAAGCTGCCCTTTATTAGAAATGAAGTAAGTATAGCTATAAAACGGTGTTTAGAAAGGCCAGGTCTAGAGGAATCGGTTGCGATAGTAAAAATACTACGCGATACTCTTCGCCGTCAATTAGTTCGTAACCGCCTGTATGACCGTCTATGTGGAACAGAAAACTGCGTAATTTGCCCTTTTGGCAAGTACGGTGATTTCATGAGTTCAGGTACGATATACTTGATCTCTTGTAATGATTGCGGAGACGAATGTATTGGCGAAAGGAACAGGCCTTTATGCATCCGCATAAACGAACACCTAGATGGCAAACGAAAAACGAGATAAGGCACGCCACTGTGGATGCATAGGATACAAAAGCATAGCAGAGACAATTTTGATATAAAAGTCACCATCCTCGCACAGGATGCCAAAACACCAGCGCGCAAGCTTCTTGAGGCTTTTGGATAAATGACAAAAACCCTAAAATAAACAGTAGAGAGAAATTGTCCGAGATCATACGTGATCTCGCCCGTACCTTCGTATCGATAGTTTATTTGGGGAGGTGCAGTCGTCAACCATATGCGACGCTGATCAGCGGCTCTTCTTTAGTGGAAGGCACGTAGAAAACGGTGAGTTTTCGAGAAGCTGTTGACCATGTGGCTACCATTTAGATTCTCATCCTTCTGTTTATGGTGTTGAAGCGTTTGACCTAGTAGGTTGCGTTTTAGTGTACCCTTTCAAGCCCTGAAGAGGCGATACTGCCGAAACGTCAGCTGCGACTGTGTTGTATGTGTTATTGTATCGAAGTAAGCGTACGCTGCTTAACAACCTCGCAATTGCTGAGAAGGAAAACAACGCGTTTTCATTTTACCGAAACCGTTATGATTTTGAAAGAAGTCGAGTTTGCAAGTTAGTAATTGTCCTACTGTTGTAACGAAGCTTGAAGCTGCTTACGGTGACAAGCTTAGAATGCCCATGATTAGGTTTCTTGAAAAACAAACTTTCCAGGATGTCAGTGGGACCAAGAATCTATAAATTCTCAAATTTTATCCCACTTCAAGCTCGAACCCAACTGATTCTACGGATCACGCTTGCAAGGCAACGAAAGGAACAGAAAGTCCTGAGACAGTCAGCCCATATAAACACAAGTCATTTACGTAGGTGTGTGCATGCTTCGAAGGCCATCCACCACATGGTCTCGAGCACATACGTTCCGTCCTTTCGCAGTTGTCATCTATGGAAGGGTGGATCCACTTGTCGTTTTGCTGCGACTTAGGGACATGTGACCTTCTCTGTCTTTCAGTGTTGAATAACTCTCCACCGCGGTTCTTGTTAAGATTCAAAGAGAGGTGTGCTAGGTCACTCCCAGATTTTCACCATAGCGTAGACCATTGCCAGCTGGATGGAAATGCGTCTTAAGATTCTTCCAAGGCAACAACGTTTCATGCGACTTGTCGACCCTCTCACTCAGCTTTCTTATCACCATAGCAGCTGATGAAATTTGGATTTAGTCAAAGCATACACTGATGTCATGTTTTTGTGTTTTGTCCTTCTTTCAGTAACGAATTCCGAAACAAGTACTCAGTATGGAAAACTTTACTAGCCGTTTCGAAAAGATCTATCTTTTGAAGTCACGCCATAATACAAACGAATTCGTAATGAAAAGATATGAAAGCGCATAAATGTTATTAGGTACTATTGTGTACAATATGAAATCTGCTATATGCTCTTCTGTCAGAAATGTTTCACAGTAGATTGTTGAGAAATGGAAACCACTGAACAACGTTGGTCAGATGTAGCACAACAATAGTGGAAACTATAGCGAGCACAATGGCAATGAAGATCAGAACGCTGCAGAGCACCAAAAAATTCTGAAATTGTCTCAGATAAGATGATCATGATTGTCTAGGGTGAAAATCGGTAGCACGGATGTTAGAAACAAGAATTATTATAAAGTCAATAGTGTTCAATATCTAATGACATGTTTAACATAGTCGCAACCATGCATATTCTTCATCAACCGCCTCATGGCACGAAGGTCTATTTTCCCGTCATGAACCCAGCATGCACTAAACCCAATCCATATGGTCTATAGTGCCCAGTTCCTATTCCAAAGAATCGAGTACCCACCTAGCAACCGCATTTGCGTTGCTTCTACACAAAACGCCTACCTACACAAAGCAGGTGGACTGAACCTTGCACACTTGTATCTATATTTGTGCAGTAAAATCATCTTTTAACTCTACTCATTTGTACTGCCCTGGCAGTGGGGCTATATATCTTCGCGCTCTCTTAACAAACGGCAATCCAATCCTCGTGACGGAACGAACAAATTCCTCCAATATATATATATATATATATATATATATATAAATCCAGTAAAATGTGATCTAAACGGTGGGAAATATATAATATTCGGGCTCATCTCAGGGTAACTTGTGCGGGGTAAATTTCTTATTAATACAAAATCATATTGAGGAAATTATGTGTGACCAGAATTAACACCCAGTAATAGAATGCTTTGAGATGAATAATGCTCATCCCAACAACAGAGATATATATACATATACTCGGACATACATACACACATCAACACACACCCACACACACGCATACACACACAAAATCACTTAGCGCCTGGTTACCATTCCACCCTTGACTTTCTTTCTGTTCCATATAGAGCGTGATTATTATATTGTGCTTGAAAGCGTAGGTTAATGTCATACAGACCCTCATTTTCATTAATACCAATCCACATGATCAGTTGTGTACTGATATTATTTCGCACCAACGTGCAAGAAGTTCCATGAATGCACTGATATAGCAAATTTGTATGCATGGTGCATCCTTCAAGGATTGATCAACGAGAATTCAACCTGGTGAGTCTCATATCTGACAACACAATTTCTAAGAACATAAAGCTAAAGGATAAAGCTCTCGGCGTTGATCAATCCCTAAAGGATGCACAATGCATTCGACTTCATTAAGCATCGTTTAAGGGTTGAATGCATATCTGGCCTTTACAACGATTTTTAGTGGTCTACCGATTCCCAGAGCTAGTGCTGCTATCCTCTCAGACAAGTCTGGTACCAATTTGCCGACGCCGTAGGGATGGAAGGCTTGGTGGGCCGTGGGCGAGGAGATCGATTCCACGTGTGTGTTGCAGGGCGCCTCCGACCATTGCGCCACACGCTCCCCTTCCTAAGAGCATATGGCATGGAATAAGTAAGCAGCCAAACAAACTCTCATGCTGGTTCCACATGTTTTCACTTACTTCGACATAAGATATTGGTAAATGCAAAACTATTACCAGTGCCAACAAAGATACCAGGCTAAACATGATTAGTGACAGTAATATTAAACAATTACATGTGATATACGTGGAGCGGCTTGCGTCGGTGGAGATGCAACGTCTGAATCATCTTCTTGCCCACTTTTCTTCTTTCTTCCATGTTTTTTTGCCTTTTTTCTGCTGTAATATGTCTTAATAATCAATGCAACGAGTATATATACGGAGATGTCATTCATTCGATTCTATTAGAGGTAAGCGAATGCATATACGGCCCATGCAATGACCGTGGCCCATAGTACGTAAAGTGGGTGTTTCCATCCTTCTAGGCAAGTCTGAGAGCAATTACCTAGCCGCAGAGAGATGGATGGTTTGGTGAGCCCATGCCCTGGTTTCGCATCAATATGTATTGCTTGACATCTCCAACTACTACGTTATCTAGTCATAAATACATTTCGAATATTTTACACTTTTTTGACACCATACATTCTGCGGACCCCCGCATCATCAACGAAAAATTTCGGACTTTCATGGTAACGATTGGTTGCTTACTAATAATTTTGGTTTTTCTCACTAATGTCGTTCAGTGCCCGTTCAGTGCGTCTTCCCTGCTATGCCGGTATAAGCGTGGTAGCGGTTCCCAGATCGCAATCACACAAAGTCGCTGTATTTAGTGGATTAGAGGGAACGGCGGCTTAGTTGGTTCGGAAAAAAGCACAAATATGACCATGGTCGTATTGAACGGCATCACTACCTTTGCTTTATCTCAGCCCCTATGCTTTTATATATATATATATATATATATACATATATATATATATATATATATATATACGAATATATGTATATTCATGCATGCAAGTGGTTCTGAAATTTTTTCAGCAATTTATTAAAGCTCTTGTAATATCTTTGGATATCTTACCTCATTTTACTTGGTTTTTCTTCAGATATCCTTTGACCTTGGTTACTGGATGAGCTCTGGATGGCACCCGGTGGTAGCGTTTTAGAAGGTGGTTGAGCTTCAAGCTTTTGTGGAGGTGGCAGTGGTGGTGGAGGTGGTGGTGGCGGATGACCGGCTAGTGGAAGTGGTGGAGCTGCACCTGGTGGTCCTAATTCTGGAGGTGGCACATTAACAGGTGGTCCAAGTTGCTCGTATTCGTCACCCATCCACTAGTTTATTTTAAACCTATAATGTAATGAAAAAGTAGAAAATATGTTGTTTCCATTACTACTACTGTTCAAACCCACCGACTTTTGCCGACAATCAGGTGACTAATAATACTAAGAAATAAGTCGTACTTCCACGTATTTGCTTGATGATAACTATCTAATTCACTGATAACTCAGCTTGCGAATCATTCCAAGCTAATGTTCTTGTACATGTATGTACCTGAAAAACACGTAAATCATGAGAGTGGGTAGATAACGTGCGTTGTTACCGCCACATTGATTTCCTGCTGGGTTAAGGATAAGCTAACAGTTATTACACAATATTCAACCGACTCAATTCAGCTACAAGTCAATATGATCATTTTCAGCCCTAGGAGAGATAGTATCCACCAACTCCTTAATCAGGGCCAAGTCTATATTGTAATAAATAGTCAGTTATCAGACGATGCATTCATTAAATCGGTATTTGATTCCAGAGCAGACACGAAGTTGTCAAATTATCTTCAATATCTATTTTTATTCTTCTCCATTTCCTTTTTATTCTTCCACATCCACTGTGCTCGTGACGTACGGCACCACTACCGATGCGTTATCTGCACTCTGAAGTTTTCAATGACAAGATTTATTTAATAGTGGATGACTTTCCAGCGTTTCCGCCTTTTTCGAAGCTTACAAAGGTCAAACTGATACGCTGTCCACTCAGGCAAACACGTTCGTAACTTAAGCAGATCCCAGCTCATGTCTTGAGCACCCAAATGTTCCTGGATCGTCTGTGTAACGCAACTTCCAAGATCATGTAAGTGACAGAGTCATTAGACGATGTCGGCCTTTGTACGAACTTATCGATTCACTCTGCAGTGAATCAACCATCCGCAAGTTCATCGTAGAACAAGAAAGAGCTATAAAGAGCTATAAACATGTATAGCTTCTCAATGCAGCAGCTCACCGCCCTTTTGAAGGAGTTTCGAAGCTGCTCAATCTTCAGATAGTCTTCCGGGAAGTATTCCACACAAGTGAGAGGGCTGGTATAGAAGCAGGATTCGGTAGAAGTGGATGTAACTCCACCAAACAGTTTATAAAGTCAGTTAGTTTTCAGCCCTTCACATGCCCATCTCTGTAAAATAGGAAATTGCATAACCTGCCTTAACAGTGGAAAGGATAACTGCATCAGTTTGGATTCTCATTATCTAATCACTTAGTTGCATGGAAATATCACCTGCATCATCTGTAGTCTCATTGATCGTCCAGTGACTCGAACGGGTGCCAGTAAATCTTCCATTTTTTCCTGTCGCGTGCAAGAGTAGCCCAGTTGGTTGTGCTCGCTCTAGAAACTCGTCGAGCATCATATCTTTTTTCTAGGCTTTTCGTGAAGAACTCTTACCGTCGAGTCAGTGGTCTTCCTGCAGTGCGTTTAACATTCCGAAGAATCCAGTCACTAACGGTTTCTGTCCATCGGTTGTCGTTCATACGAATTACGTGTCCGGCCCACTTTATCCTCCACTGTTTGGCGTACAAAACAGCATCTTTAATTTTTGATCGCTGACGCAGATCGGAGCTCCGGATTCCTTCCCTTACTTGCGTGACAAGGGATACTCCTAGCAACGTCCTTTCGCCTGCGCGTTCGATAACGCCGAATGATCTTTCATCCTGCCTGCGCAGCGACCAAGTTTTTGACGCATACGTTAACGCAGGAAGTGCTGTTGAGTCGAAAAGGTGAGCACAAGGCCGGGCGTTCTTTGAGCTCCTCACTACTTTACCGATGCTCTTGAAAGCTCTCCAAGCTACTCGATTCCTTCTGCTCAACTCTGGAGCTACGTCGTTGATTAAGTTGATTTCACGACCTGGATAGACGTAACTGGAGCACTCGGAGACATTCGTTCCGCTGAACGTGAATGGGGCATGCGAAACCAATCCGTTCTTCATGAACATCATTTTTTTGGGATTTTGTCGAATACCAATCCTTCTACAGGCCTTATCAAAGTCGTCAAGCACAGTTCCGTTTGGGTAATGTTTAGCGTTATAAGGACGATGTCATCAGCAAAGCGAAGATGATGTAACTGCCGACCATCCACTTTCACACCCATATTTTCCCATTCCAATGTTCGTATGACGTCCTGGAAGGTGGCCGTGAATAATTTTGGCGAGGTGGTATCGCCTGTCCTAGCTCCTTTTTTGATGGAATGTTAATATTTCGAAACCGACTTTCCTTGAACCTCGGTATCACTAATCAATATATCACTGTTCATCTCGACGTTGCAGCTTCGCCTTCGTGTCGAGTCAGGTCTTCCTCAGTGAGCCATCTTCTCGAATGAGGCATCCTCACTCATGGACCATCGACTCGGATCACCGGCTCTGAGGAAGACGGAGACGTCGAAACCTTAGCCGATAATAAATAATTATGATTATCAACCTCGTGTAAGCTCATCAAAGAGAGAATACATTTCAATGTTAGTATCCGATATTATTATCCGATACAGCTATTGTATCCTAATAAATCCTATGGTAACAACCTCGTGTCTGCTTTTTGAAGAAAAACATCAAATTATCAATCAATGGTGAGGTTAAAAGAAAGTCGGTCATGGGAACGTTAATATCGTTGTAGAATGGTGATATCTTCGTTGCGAATTTTTTGTACAGCTCACGAAGAATCTTTTTATGTACTAAGTAGGGGCTCCTTGACTATCAAAGGCTTCCAAGACTGCTTCTATCTCAACTGAATCGAAGGCCTTCTGCAAATCGATGAAAGTGAGACAGAGTGGTCTTTTGTACTCTCGCGACACTTCAATGAGCCGTGTTACTGTGTGGATGTGGTCCATCGTACTAAATCCTCTTCGAAACCCTGCTTGCTCACATGGCTGTCCTTCATCTAGTGTTCTGCCAATCCTGTTTAGGATGACTCAAGTGAAAAGTTTGTAGACCACGGACAGTAAGCAGATTGGGCGATAGTTGCCGATACCGTGCAGGTCACCGTTCTTGAAAAATAACACGGTCTTGCTGGTCCTCCACTGAGTAGGGGCCTTGCATTCAGACAGGTAACGTGTGAAGAGCCGAGCCAGTGTGTTTACGAGAAACAGCGAACAGTTCTTCAGGTGTTCCTGATCTTATCCTCTCTGGATATGGTGCTGTTCGATTTTTCACCAACGAAGTGGCATGTGGGATTTCGGAAGGAGGAATCGGTGGTGCAATATATCCATCCTCTTTTATTTCATACGACGGAAGGCGGACGTGGCTGTCGAAAAGATCTGGGCAGTATTCGTGAATGATTTCCTCCATTGTCTTTCTGGACGCAGTAACTGTTCGGTCTGGGCGTCGGAGTGATATCACCTTGGTCTTCTAATTGGCGAAACTTCGGTGAGCTTTGCGAATGCTTTTCGCAACCTCTGCAGCTTCGACTAATGATGCTTGCTCCTTTTTCTTTAAGATCTTCTTTTATCGCCTGTCTGCATTGTTTTGCAAGCTCGGACGTTAGTTCACCGTTGCGTGCTGCTCGTGCGATTCCACGCCGGCGTATCAGCTCGAGAGTTTCTGGAGACAGACGTCTCTTGGTGACTTTCGAACTCTCAGCTTTCATAGCGCTAGCGTAAAGATGCTGAATGGGCCGATCGTAGTCCTCGTCGATGTTATAGCCAACGATATCTTCCGAACAGCCGACTAATGAGTTGAATAAGTCCCAGTTTACAGTGGTCTTGGGACTTCGTTTTTGAATTTAGTGTCTTCTTCTCCTTTCTGCGAGAAATAGAATCTTGCACGAAGGAGGCGGTGGTATGATCCCGAGTAGAGTTTTGGGACAACGGCGACATCGGTTAGGCAAGACCTTCGGTTTACTATGATGTGGTCTATTTCGATACGGTACTGTCCATTAAGAGACTCCCACGTCTAGCGTTGAGGATGAGGTTTTTGGAATTGCGAGTTACTATGGATTGTCTTGGTCGCCATGATAAACTCAGATAGTTGCTCACCCATTCGTTCCATTCTAATCCGTGGGTTCTAATGTGACGTTCTTCAGACGTCCTTCTTGGTCCAATCTTTGCGCTAAAATCTCTGACGATGACCTTGAAGAATGTGTGGTCTCCTCTGTAGAACTTCTCCAAGTCCATATAGAACACTTCGACTTCTTCATCGTCATAGTTTGATGTCGGCGCGTAAACGACGAAGGTTGTCAAAGTCGGAATTGATCTGCGTCTTTTTAATCGTAAACGTCCGATTCGGGTTGTAAGTTGTTCGATTGAATCGATGTACATGGACAAAGTCCTGTTGACGAGAGCGCCGACGCCGCCGACTCTACTGTCGCATGCCACGAGGAACAGTTCTTCTCTGGTGTCATAGACGGCGTGGAAAGGCTGTCGTCTTCTCGTCTCGGCCAGACCGATGACGTCGTACTTTATTTTTCTTGCTTGCATTATCAAGCCTTTTTTCGGAGACTCGGATGCAAATGTACGTGCATTGTAAGTACAAATCGTGGCCTTAGTTCTTGGCGATCTTGGCAGCTTCCGTTGACCCTGCGATTCTAGCAGCCTCGCTGTACATGCCTTACGCAACGCTGCCGAATTTGGGGCTTTTTCGGAACCAGGGAAATAAGGCCTGTTTCTTTTACTGTGTTTAGTGTTTTGATATCCACGTAGAGCTTGTTGGGCTTTAAACGTGGCGGCTGGGTATACTCACGGGTAGCTTACCAGGCTCTTTCAGGGTGGTCATTGTGCTTATTTGTTGGAGGGGACTCTTAACTACCTCCCATATATTCCTGTCACTTGATTGAAGGCTTTTGACCGAATTGACTCGCAGAATACAATCCGCACAAACTTGAATGCACCCACACACGTGTGCATAAATACGCCTCGTAAATATAGAAAGTATGCGCCAAACCGGCGCAGCTGAAACAGGGAGTCCATTCCTGGATCCACCTGCGTCTCAGGGAAATACACGTTCGCTTTCGGTACGCGATTAACCCCCTATCCGCCACGTGGGTACGCGCAGCCTCGCGACTAACCAGTTCGTGATCCCTCATATGAGCAATTTCCGTGAGAAACATATATTCCAACAAAACACTCCACTAGGCATTCATGGAGCACAAAGATATAATAGAAAAGATTTTGAAGCAAGAGTCACCTCCTGTGCAGAAATACCAAACATCAGTACGTAAAACTTTTGAAGCGTTTTTATTAAATTCGAAAGATCCAAAAATAAACCGCGGAGAATGTCTTGTGAGCACACGGGACCTCGCACCATACTTCAAACAGATTATTTCACCTGAGTCAGGCAGTTTCCTTACCTATGTACGATTTTATGCTGCTGTTCTCCGTCGAATAATTGAAGGACATCAAAAGAATAAAACGGTGATTGTTTGAAAGATGCTGTTTATGATGTAAATAGAATTCATGTGTCGAGTTTTTCCTACTTGGGCTATGAAAGTGTTTCGCTGAGTAGATTGCGGGTCAGTTTGCCCTTTCCATGATCCGAAGAAGGCGAAACCATAACGTCGTTTAAACGAAATCGATAAACGTAAACATAACCGCAATGTTGTTGAGATATTTGCAAAACTATGGACCGCAGGTGTCTAAGGTGGGGAACGAACGCGCTATTGTCCTCTCCGGAGAGTAACGCGTTCACCACCACATCATGCGGATCCTTCGTTTCGCCTGTCTTTCAGCTAGTTTTATTGATCAGTGCCGCCAGCAATCACCTTTCAACGGGACTGACCTGGGGAGCCTACAGCGGCACTGAACCCAGTTAAGCTGACGACAGGAGTGCTTTCGTTCCTCACCGCAAATACCTGCGGTTCAGAGTTTTGCAAATATCTCAGCTACATTGTGGTTGTATTTCGCTTAGTACCCTGCCGCGAAGATTGCAGTATGCTAAAGACAAAAAGTAAAACAAACGTAAACACACTTATTTTTTAATAGTTTATGTTCGATAATGACTAGAAACATTATTAACTCACTTCATTGCAAGTAGTATAAATTTAACTCGGCACAAAAAATTTAGTATCACGATAATGTCATAGTGCTTCTTTTCTCAGAGTTATCTCACTGTCACCTCAGAGATCGGTTAACATTGAACATTTTGTTCTTCCTGTCTTTGTAACTGTACCACGAGATGAACATGTTTTTAGGTGCTTAGATCAAAAACTGACCCGGAGGTGGCGAGCTGCATCCTCAGCTAGCGAGATTATGCCGATAATGGTGAAGTAGAGAAACAGCGTTCAAAACGCCCACAATAAATCAACAAAGTGAAGCTAAAAGTATTTTCGACCAAGCAAATGAAAGGAAATCCAATATTGATTACTAAGGATTAAGTACATCGCGGCGCTTGATAACTCAGTAACTCAGTAACTTCAACTCATTTTAAAACTATATTCACATCATGCTATGCAAAGCACTACCACAGGAAAGGTCACATTCTACAACTGAAAATAATTTACCCAACTGCACTTGTGGCTGCCAATCGACGACGGGAAAACGTTCACTCTTATCAATAATGTTTAACTGCAGCTAATAACAATAAACCGTGATAAATTACCTCAAGAAAAATATTCGAAAATTTCTTTAACCGTATCCTTTGCAGAATTCGTTGATATCCAGTGTCCTAACTACCAATGTGGTCAGTTGCAAAGTGACCACCACTGCACCGAAGACAACCACTGTCAACATCATCGCTATAAAGGTGCAAGATGTTCATATGACCGTAGAGAAAGCCTAAAAAACATATTTCTTAAGCAAATGTGGATAGAATACCTCATAAGAAATCCACGACTAGGAATTGTGTTCCCAGAGAAACTCTCGAATGACGGGAAATGTGCGCTATTCCTTGAAATGAGCATTTCACGAGTGAAACTCTCGAATAACGCCAAATGTGCGCTATTCTTAGAAATAAGCATTTTCCAAGTGAAACTCTCGAATAACGC